TAGTTAAATATACCCCATTTTTTTTCAGTGTACCCTTGCCCTGACACCTTGAAATTGTATGTTAAAAATTACTTTAGGTGCCTTCGAAAATCAGAGTTTCTAAAATAATAGATTACAATGCGTTTTTTTAAAAATTTATTTAATTAAAATTTTAATTTTATACACTCAAAATTTACATACCGTTTCCTTGACATCCCATTTTATTTTCAACCGTACTTTTGATCTCATGTAGCCAATAGATGCTTCGGAGGCAAAACAAATATGTTTACAATTTATTTATTTATTTCATAAAGTAATTAGTCACAATAATATCTCCCAGCCTTCACTTGATTGTCCAAGAAGAAGCTCCAAAAAGTCATTTTTGCTTAGGATAATTTGAAATTCTTATAAATATATTACCTTTGATGGAACTCCTGCTGAAAATTACTTAAAACCTTAAATCAACTTCTAAACAACAAATCAACCTTCCAACCCCAGTATCATCAAAAATAATATTCAGTGAGCGATCTTTAAATTTTAAAATGCTTTAAAATTGGAAACTATTACCTTAGGTTTTCTACAACTTGAAAAATTGTCGTAAATACATTTCTTATTGTGACGTTTCAAAATCTAATGTTCTGTATTTCATTACCTCCAAAATGTATGAACCTTTCTTTCCCTCTCACCTCAATTAAATATTAAAACTAGCCCTCAAGTGCCTCATAGTCAATTGTTGCTCCGGAGCCATTGCACTTAGTAATTTTTTAAATTTTTTAAATATTTTTTAAATATTGAACTTAGTGGCGTGGCGTGCTTTGCGATACAGCGATCGATCTGCCATTTTAATTTTTGGAAAAGAATCGATAAACAGGGCGTTCTCAACGAAAACTTTAATAATAGATTCTTTTCCATAGCTTCAAGTAGGGAGGTATCGATAATCGATCATTCACGCCGCGACTCTGATTACATATTTTAATATACTATTACTTCGTCAAAAAAACAATGCCCACTTAATGTTCCTTGATCTCCGATATCACTTTTAGCAGTTTTCTCGAAATGCCTTGCTGTACTATTACTACATTAATATATTATTTGTAAATCTAACTTACTTGTAACGAAACTAATTGGCCACATTCTTTCCACTATCACCTGGTAGCTGAAGAAGAGCAGTCAATGTGTCACCGTTTGCTCGTACAGAATTTCTAAATGTTTAACATACACTATCTGAATGGAACTCTGTCAACAACGCAAGGAATCAATTCTAAACATCACATCAATATTTCTACCTCACACCACGAACATTATCATTCAGTAGCAATCCTTACATTTTTTTAAAACTCTCATATCTAAATTTTAAATTTTCTTTTGCTCTCTGCTATAAATTTTTCATTCACATTGATGCACATTCGTTTTCACTTTAAAATTGAATGTTAAAACTAACCCTCCGGGACTTTGTATCTAACGTTTGTTCTAAGCTGATACATTTCAAATGGTACTCGTACCATTGCAAAACAATTTAAGTTTTTAACAATGCATTTTGGCGAGTAAATTGTACGACTAACGACGGACAAAACTAGAATAATTTTCTGAGCAACAAATACAAAAGGCGCCGATGCATTTTGATGAGTACATCGTTTTGATGGCCATGACAGATCGAATAGTACTGCAAAACAAACACAAAAATTACTAAATGTGCAAATTATTAGATGCAACGATTATTATAACGCGAGTTCGAATAATCGCGCCCGAGCCAAACACAGTGCGGCCGGCGTTAAACGTACGTATATTAGCGCCTATAAGAATGCATGAATACTTCTCGCATCGCGCCAAACGCAGTACAGTCGGTCAGTCGGCGTGAAACGCATATCACCGTCAATACTATTCTATGCACAAGACAGTAGAAATGCTGTAGGACTCTGTGTCATTATTCTTGACTCTCTGTTCCAGTATTTACCATAATTTAAGGGAGCTTGATTTACGAATTTAGTCAGGAAAATTCCACTCAGTTGGCTATACATCTTGCGTATAGCAACCGGCTGATAATTGAAATTGGTAGACAAAGCAATAGATGAAGAGGACAAAGGAACAATGGAAGGATCCAATGGGTCAGTCGCGCTGGTAACAGAATCGTGTTTTGATGCTTGATTCTTATAGATCAGCTAAAAAGAATAAGATCTGTCCAAACAGCAACTTTCCACATTTAATATTAATCGAGATATCGTGCTTTGAAAAATTTGGTTTATGACATCATCCACCGCGGCAGTGACATCCTTGTTTCTTCCACCTTGCTTTCATCCGAGTTTCACGTTTAGTCATCAGTGGAAATCTGCGTCTCCCTGACTGATACTGAAAGGAAGGTGGAAGAAACCAAGGGTGCCACTACTGCGGTGGATGACGTCATAAACCGAATATTTCAAAGTGCGATATCTCGGTTGATACTGAACGTAGAAAGTTGCTGTTTGGACAGATAATATTTTCAGCTGATCGTCAAGAATCAAGCATGAAAACACGATTCGGAGACTAGCGCAACTGACCCATTGGCGGAAGCAGGTGGTTGCGAATGGAAAAAGTAGGCAAGTAATACACTGACTTAATGGAAACCCACGAAGGATTCTACAGCTAGTCCATCATTCCCTCCCTCAGTCTACAACAACCACCCATTTCAACCAACAGCTCGCTCCATTTTCCCTTTGTCTCCTGTGTCTGTAGCTTTGTCTATATCTTTGTCTAAAGCTTTGTCTATCAAGTTCAATGATCAGTTTGCCGACCTGCAGGCCGATTATTGAAATTGATAGACAAAGCTATAGACAAAGAAGAAAAAAGAGGTATGGAGGGATGCTATTGGTGGAAGTGGCAGGTTTCAATGGACAAAGGAGGTAGGTAATAGGCTAACTAACGGCAACCCACTAGAGATCCGATACTTAGTCCATCATTTTCTCCCTTAGTCAATGAGAATTATGCGTTTCAACCAACAGGATCGCTCCATACTCTTTATGTTTCCTTTGTCCATCGATTTGTCTATCAGTTTCAATAATAGGCCCACTAGGGGGGAGGGGTGTATGTCGATGGCGAAAGTACAACGCCATGTGTCAGGGTCTGCGATGTTGTAAATCTTCTGTCACATTTTATTTATCCAAAGAGGGCCCAATAGTGTTTGCTCAAAATTCAGTATACTTTTCCCTCGTTCTATCGACAGTACTCTCCAAAAAATCTCCGCAAAAAACTCTAACGTCATGAGTTCGTGGAAGATGGTCTGACGCTGGTTGACGACTGGATTCGTGCAGTGCTGAATTTTTTAGAATTTTTCGATGGTTTTGGCCAAAATGTCAGCAAAAAATGTCAAATGGACGTATTTATGCCATAAAGGAACTACGTTGCATGCGAGCCCATACAGATGGCTTTTTTAGCATAAATACGTCTAAATATTCTGTACGAAAGATTGGATTACGGGAAAGAGTGATTTATAAGCTAAAATCTTCTTGCCTCTGACGTAATTCTATCAGAAGTCAGAGACTCAGTTGCAACAAAACGGATAGAAAAATATTCTCAAAAGTGAAATCAATATGTCTCGGTATAAGAGTCCTATCAAACTAATGGAACT